CTTTCTCCTCCTCCTCCATCTTCATTAGGACCAACCTCCAACATGAAGCTTCCTTCTGCAGGTTCCTATGAGGCTGTATGATCAGCACCCCTCCCCCCCCAGGACTAAGTCTAACCCCAGGTTGGCTCAGCCTGCAGCAGGGTGTTGGGGCTTGTATTACCCAAAGGGCCGTAAGACCTTTTTCACAGGCTTCCCTTCAGTTCATGGCACACAGTCCCTGCCTTGTCTTCCACTTGTACGTGCACAGCAAGTATACTTTGGCTATCCTGGCTTTGGGTGGATTCCAGCCTCAGAAATGAGCAGAGATGGAGAAAAGCCCATCTGGACCCAGAGAGGAGAGTCTAGCACACTGTCCCCAAAGCAGAAGAGACTCTGGAGACTTACTCATCCCTCCCACCTACGCCAGCTATTTCTAATGAGATTCAGTGGGCCTGTACCAGGAGGAGGGACACCAGCCTAGTCTGGGACGGGGAGATGAGTAAGTCAGCCCAGCTGAGCAATGTGGAAGGGGCATCCCAGGCAAGGGGAGGGGCCTGAGCCCTGGAGGACGCAGCAGAACACTATGTCCTGGAAAGCTAAGGAGCTTGGGAGCCCTTGGGAGCTTGGGGGGAGGAGAGAAGATTGGGCTGAATGTGCAAGCAGTGAGGGATAAATAATGATGGGCATGATGTGAGAAACGGAAGCCAACCCTGTGACCTCTGAACCATCTCAGCATGCCTGGGACAGGCAGGGTTCAAACAAGCTGATTGTCTGAGACACATGAGGATCAAAAGGTGAGCTGACTGGTCTGTGCTGAGACTGGTTCTGACCCACCTTTAGACCACCCTCTGGACCTTCTTCCTAACACCTTCTTGAGGCAAAGAGGGGTGACATCTAGTCGAAGTCTTATAAAGACTCATCTCCCAGGACCAGGAACCTGACAGCATTCATCTTGCCACGTGTTTGGTCTCCACACACATGGTGTTGTTTATCACATGTATGTTGAATGAGTAAATACACATGGAAACTGCATCCTATAGAGCAGGGATCAGCAAATTTTTCTGTAAATAGTAAATATTTTACCATTATTCTATTTTACTGTTAGTAAATAGTTTACTAATTTTGTAAATAGCAAATAGTTTTGGTTTTGTAGGCCATGTGCTGTCTGCTGCCAACACTCTACCTTGTAGCCCCATAGATAACATATACATGAATAGGAATGGCTGTGATGGTTGTGTTCCATTGACCCTCTTTACAAAGGCAGTTGGGGGCCAAAACTGGTCAGAGGCTATAGTCTTCCTGCCTCCACAATAGGGACCTCCAGGGACAGTGAATATTCTGTGTCTTTGTCTATCTGCAGA